TAGCGTTTCCGAAATTATTAAAATCCGTAGCATCAAGTATTATCACTGGTACAAACTTCGATTCTAGAGTAATGTAGCAGGAAAATGGTTAAGGCTTCGGAATCAATCGAAATAAAAACGAAGCTTGAAAAAGTAACCTCGTTAACCATTCGGAATACGCCATGCACCCTGCTTCTACTCAAGATCAAAGCAATATATGTAAGTATCAAGATAACAGTTTACCCTCCAGATAGAAAATTGACTTGTCCTTATATCTGTTGGTATTGTGACATACTTCGGAGTGCAAAGAAGTGAAAATCCTAGTAAATAAACGCATAAATAAAGAAGCAAACAAATAATCAACCAGACCAAAGCAGAGCCTTGAAAGTCAACTGATGTAATGTTCGAAAGATTTTATTCTAACACTCAAGCCCAGTCTGGAGCATTCTATTGAATCGTAAATTCAATTGAAATCAGATCTTCATATTCGGTCATACACATGGTAAAGGGCGATCTAAGCCACTGCGCCATCAGGGAAGGAGAAATCGCAGACCATACAGTAGACATAAATTTTTAAATCAGTGTGTAAAATTCTGCTGGTTATTTTATTTGAAATATGAAAAATAAGTTCATCTGCATGATTATTGGGAAAATCGGCAAAAATCAAAAAGGTAAATCAAAAAATCTGAAAACAAGTGCTCCGACCTGACACGGAATCGATCTTCACTGGACGGAATATCACTCTCGTAGTCTTCGTCTTCGGTAAGCTGTGACAGTCGAATGCTCTTGTGAGCATCAGCCAACGCAACTTTCAGCCTCAGATTTTCATCGCGGAGTGCACCGAAGTCCAACGACAGAACTGAAATCCCTTTGAGAATTTGCGAGCTCGGGATATACGTGCTCGCCCGACCTGAAATCGCCCCCTGAATTGAATATACATAGACTAGGTTATCTAAGGGATTTCAGGTGAGGTGAGTGCTGTGGTGAACGATGAATGGTATTGGTTAGTCGTGTTGAAAGGTCGTGGTGCTATTGCAGAAGAAAGGCCGAATCCAATGCGACAGATCGCCTTTTGGTGGCAGTGCTGTTAGTGGGAAAGCCATTCCATAACTGAAATAATTCAGATTATGCGTGGGGCACCGCACTGTCGCGCATCCGAGTCGCAAAACGTGAAAACTGAGCGCGCGCTCGCGAAGCGTTCAGATCAG